AAGTCATTATAATCGGTAATTATGTCCCCACTGGATGCAACACATGCCTGGTTTATAATGGGTTTTAATGTTTTTGTCTCGTCGCTCCGGCCAGACACTGCATCACAGTATGGTGAGGAGCATAACATTTCTGTCACACGCTTGAGGTATTCGGCCAATCACAACGCACTGGATAGCTGACTAATCACAGCACACCTTGCTTTTCAGACCGATGAGCTTTGTAAAAATCGACGCGTTTCAGAAAGGCGGGGCATAGAGGAGAAACAATAATGTACAGTATGTGGAAAATAATGTGTTTTTTGAACCTTAAACCGCATAAACACATTTCATTACACCAAATACACCAAATAATGTTCTTTTTAGCAACATCATATGACCCCCTTTAATAATTCACAATTATTAATAGTTTATTTTATTTAATGAGTACAACACGGATTATCATAACCAAATTAAGCCAATATTCTGTTTTCTAGAAATATGAATAGGAATATGCCTGTACTAGTCAGAATTTTGGCCTATGTAAACATCCTCATTCAAAAAAATTAATTGCAAGTGAATAGTTATGTACATTTGCATGTCTTTATCATTAATTACTAGTAAATTAGCATTAATAGAGTCCGTTATTAGCCATTTTGTCTTGTTTATTTATTTATTTGTTATTTCTATTATTTTTTAATTTATTTATTTTAGTAGTTTTGGAACGTAGTCATTTTAGAACTCCAGGATCCAGTTTTTTTTTTTTTTAAGTATAGTTTTGTCATGTATATTCCTTGCAAAAGATAATACCTATGTATGTTTGCATTTCTTTATTATCAATGATCAAAAAATTAGCATAAATGGGGTCAGTTATTAGTATTCCAATTCTGTTTCTGGACTAGTCTCTGGTTACATTCCCACGGCACCTGAGAAGAACTCCAAAGGTACTCAAGCCCCCAAAAAACACCCCACAGAGAAACCTCATCAGGGCCTGTCAGGGGTCAAGTAAGTCAACTGCAGCTATCCAGTCTAAAATAAGGATTTCTTTAAGAATCAAGTGAACTATTGTCAGTAAAATCCAATCATGTTCTCCTCACAGCTGTACAGACGCAAGTCTCAATCTAGAGGACTGCATCCAGAACAATGTGGTGTCTGCACCTCGGGGTAAATATTTACAACTCTGATTTTAAATTGTTGTATGAGAGTAAATCAAGCATGGATTGACCATTTACATGTATCTTTATGAAGATGAGAGCCCTCATATCAGCTACGTGATTGGTGGAGCTCTGTCAATACTGGCCATCCTGATACTCATAGCTGCATTCATTATTTACAGGTAAGGTTTAGCGAAGCATGAATTAATTCCATTTCTCAGCTGCTCAAAATAAGATGAATACTAGGAGTTGTCATTATTTTTTGCTTTCCAGGCACAAAAAATTCAAGTTTGCAGATCCAGGAGTGAGCAACTTGACTTACAGCAACCCTTCATACAGAACTTCAACGCAGGAGGTTAAAATAGAGACCGCACAGAAACCTGCAATAAACAACCAGCTGCGATATAAAAAGGAGGTATTGTTTATCAATCTTGCCTTTGAAGATTTCACTAAAGAATCATTTGGATGAATGTAATGTGCTGTTGATGGCATAACTGGTTTTCTATTTTTCGTGAGCAGTACTTTACAGAGTCTCAGTCCACACTCATCTTTTTTTCTTCATGACAGCTCAATCATCCTTACAACTCCCTTTCTCCTTTCATCTTTTGACATCCCCTCTTTTATTTTCATCAGAATGGCAAACAAGGTAGTTCAACAAATTGGGAAAATATTGCTTCCCATATTTAAAGGCAGCCGTGTGATTGTGACCCAACCGCTTGATCTCAAATCCAGCATCCCATCATTGTCTTCTTGCATGTGATCAGATTTGTGCATGAGAGTGCAAATTTATAGTTATTACAATTTAAGGTATACATTATAGACTAGTTTCTTAGTGTATTGTGCCTGAGGTAGCATGAATTGTGAAATGCAGTGATTGCAGTGTTCAGGTTTTTTTACTTACGCCATGAAAAGAAATGCTGTGTTTAAAAATCTACATGAAGTCCCCCAAACAGTAAATACATTACGTTATATACTGTAAGTAAAATGGGTTGTGAGTGCTGTTTATTGTTTACTTGATGATTGTAATTCTAATTCCTTATATCACAGTAACCGTGTTAGAATATATAGAATATTTACTATATACTGTATATATATATATATAAATTACTATACTAATAACATATACTTGTAAAAAAAGAAGTGTGCTTAATTGTATAGAATGTGCATGTGAACTTGATTACAATTTTAACTGTCAAGTTGTTCGATATTACATTTACAGTTAATCTATTTTCAATGTACTAAATTATAACTTCTTTAGAGTATATTTACGATAAATGCTTGTACGTACATCCAGCAATAGACTTTAAAATGTTTGAAAGACATTAGAAGTAACCCAAGATGTAGATGAGTTTGTTTCTTCATCAGATTTGGAGAATGTAGCATTGATTGCATCAGTGTCTCAGCAATGGATGCTCTGCAGTGAATGGGTGCCGTCAGAACGAGAGTCCAAACAGCTGATAAAAACATCACAATAATCCACACCACTCCAGTCCATCAGTTAATGTCTGGAGAAGCCAAAAGCCACATGTTTGTAAGAAACAAATCCATCAAGATGTTTTAACTTTAAACCGTTGCTTCTGGCCAAAATACGAGTCCATAATCCATAATAACACTTCCTCCAGTGTGAAACTCCATTCCCTGTTGTCCAAAATCCACCCACATATTTGTTTTTGAAATGTTTTGGCTTGTAAAAGGTGCTTGTTCTCTAATGATTCAGATGAGACAACTTTCACTGGAGAAAGCAGTATTATAGATAATAGTTAAAAAAAAATGGCCAAAATACGAGTCCATAATCCATAATAACACTTCCTCCAGTGTGAAACTCCATTCCCTGTTGTCCAAAATCCACCCACATATTTGTTTTTGAAATGTTTTGGCTTGTAAAAGGTGCTTGTTCTCTAATGATTCAGATGAGACAACTTTCACTGGCGAAAGCAGTATTATAGATAATAGTTTAAAAAAAATTTTGCAAGAAGCAATGGTTTAAAGTCTTAATGATGGATTTGTTTCTTACACAGCTTTTCTCTTCATAAGTATTAGAAGTCAGACAGGTAGGTGCAGTCATATGGACCATATATATATATATATATATATATATATATATATACACTTAAGCAACTGACACAGAGGAAAGCTAATGCATACATGCACCAACAGCCACATTAACTGTAAATAGATTTGAGACAGACCTCATACTTGAAAGTTTCCTTTGCATTACTCTAAATGTCAATAATACACATATAAAAACGGTACGGTGACATTCATGCACACAAATCCTCCATCATCTCGCTCCGTTCATCTGGATCGCCTCTCCTCTCCTTTTGGACTACGCAACACCCTTTTTGCAAACTCTGGAGAAGCACGAAGCTCGCTGGAGTCAGAGCCCTTGTGAGAAGGAAAAAGAAACACTGACAGATATTTTGAGCCTTTTTTGTATATGAGAGAAACTCTTTGAAGTAAACTGCTTTTTGTTTCGAATGCGAGCTCATGTTATCTCGGACTGTCGGGTTAGTAAACGCTCTCGCGAGGTGTGCCAGCATCCAGCCCTCATCTTGCCACGGTGAAATGTATTTATGAACTTTCTGTACTTTGGATTGGGTTTTTAATGTTTTCGTCTTTTGAAGTAGTTTTAAAAGCATCAGGACTGTTGAAAGACTCGTTCACACACACGTTTGTGATGGTGCCAAAGGACAGAATTCACACACTCATGAAGAATCTGCTTTTTCAGTTACACTGAACATTTCTAATAAATTAGTCCATTTTAAAGAGTATTAGTTATTTTGTATTTAAGATTTTTTTTATGTTTCTGAAGTCTTTTGTGCTCACCAAGGCTGTAATTATTTGATCTAAAAATAGTAATATTGTGAAATATTATTATAATTTTAAAGAACTACTTTCTATTGTAATATATTGTAAAATGTAATTTATTCCTGTGATCAAAGCTTCCAGTCTTCAGTGTCACACGATCCTTCAGAAATTATTCCAATATGCTGATTTGCTGCTCAAGAAACATTTCTGATTATTATCAGTGTTGAAAACATTTTTCTGCTTAATATTTTCTGCCATTCAGATGTTTGAGGTAAAAAAAAAAGAAATGCATTTATTCTGCATTCAGTTGATCAAAAGTGACAGTAAAGACATTTGTTACAAAAAAAATATTTTCAAATAAATGACATTTCTGTTCATCGACGAATCTTGAACAACAACAAAAAGTGTTTTCCACAAAAAAAAAATTAAGTAGCACAACTGTTTTAAACATTAATAATAATAAGAATCACTATTAATATTTGAGCACCAATAGTAAATAGTAGTAGTAGTAAATGCAGACTTGGGGAGCATAAGAGACTTCTTTCAAAAACATTAATTAATCTTAATTATTCCAAATTTTGACCGGTAGTGTCATATATATGTATATAAATATGGTACATGGATCTGGCTTTTCTTTTTTGATGTTAAAATATGGTCAGAGTTAATATAGCAACCAAAACAAACAACAGTCAACTAGAGTCTGTAAAGCACCTTGCACTTGCACATGATTTAGCCGTTTATGAAATGATAAGGCTATGCTGATGTGTAAGTGAATGCGACTGACTGAGTGAACGTCTCCGGATCATGTCCAGGTCATGTTTACCCCAAAATGAAAAGAAATAAGACACTGTTTTGTTGAGATTCGTAGGAGTAAGCCCATTTTTTCTTATTACCGTAATGCAAATAATAATAATAGTTTCTCATTACTGTAATACATTTGAATTGTAAAGTATTTTGTATTTCCTTTATGCTGGTTTAAATAATTGAACTCTCTGTAATACGGTAATAAAATACTGTATTCATTAGAATCGAATATGAGATAAACAGTACAAACACTGGAGAGCCAAACACTGCGGCTGCCGTCTGCGGCGCCATCTTAGTAAAATAATGAAAATGTTCATGTTAATGTTCATGAAAATAATCTCACTTTGCAAAAGTGCTAAATATTCTAAAATAGACCTTTAATGCAAAAACGGTTTCTTTTTATTTTGGGTCGAGCTTGACTTGGGACGTGTGTTTTGTGAGATTCACCTCTATTTTTGGAAACGCTTTCGGATTTGTTTTGTACAGGTTTATTTTCTATGCGGTTTATTTGAGGATTGTTATGAACCCTTATGTGTTTGAGTTCTCAAAACCACCTTGGAGGAAGTTCTCCAGGGTTCAGGACTAGGTTTTTGCTGCTAAACACATGGCGCATTCAGGCCACACAGTAGTTTATTAGTCTTGGCAGCTCAGATTGCTGGCTGACGAGGCAAGCGGAGATGATCGCGGTTTAGTTCCTCTTCCTCCCCTCCTTGTTTTTCAGAAAAGATGTCAGATTTTCACAATGTATACAGAGTCTGAGCAAACATGCATTCATTTTAAATTATATAACCACTTCATTTGTTTGTAGGGTTGGTGCCAGTTATTTAACCGAGTGCTCTCTTTTTGTGTGTGTTCCAGTTACATTTAACTGCTGTAAGTTAACTAAGATATATTTATAATTTTCATTGGTTGTAACTTGTATGTAAATATGAAGATGCTGTATATGTAGTTCTCCTTTGCAATACTAACAAGCTGTGTGTGACAGTGATTTACTTTGCTTTTTTCTATCTTTAATATAAAACTGCATTTGCTTTTGAATACAAATATGGTACTTTTTTGGGGTGCTTTCTTTTAAAGGTACTACATACATATTGGCCTGGTTTCACAGACAGGGCTTAGACTAAGCCAGGATTAGGCCAAAGTTCAATTAGTTACATTTAAGGAATTTTTTATAAAAGTGCCTTAGAAAAAAACATTACTGGTGTGCATCTTGAGACAAAACAAATGCACTGATATATTTTAAGATCAGTCAGTGCAAGTTTCTTTCAGTTGAAACCTCTCAGACTTACGTTTTAGTCTGTGACTAGGCTTAAGCCTTGTCTGTGAAACCGGGGGAATATGTGTTTGCATTTTTGTTAAACATTTATTACATTTTGCATCGCGATTCACAGATTTCTATAAATCTGCCAGCCAAATTTGAGGAGGTGTATGTGTGTTAGAAGTAACATTGTGGAAAAACTACTTCATAAAATTCAATTTAATACAAGATATGAGAGTGTTACAATGTTGCCCATTATGGTAGCGACTGTATAAATTTGCTGTATCTCAAATATAAGCACACCTCAATGGAGTAATATTAGTGCTTTAATTTGACTGAATTTACCTAATCGTATGGTGCCAGTTTCTTCAAGCTGTCATTAATATGTTTAAAGCAAAACTTGTACAACTCTATCAAAACGATTTCTCTTTCAATTTTAATAAAATACTTATTAGCTGATAAGAACAGTCTTCAGTCAGGTATTTAATTCAGTGATATTCATTAAACAATGAATGGATAAAGATTATAAAGTCATTTTTTATTAGCTACAGTTCGCTAACAAAATCTAGTAGCTGTAAGCTTTTGTTCATGTTAATCGATAACACGGAGATGAAATGGATATGATTAAAGTTCAAGTATTGCTGTGAAGGAATGGAGATGACAATCTCACTGTCGTTGATGGCGGTGGTAAGTCTGATTCATTCAACTTAAACACAATTTTACAACTCCCTCATGTCTAATCTGGAATAAGAAGAATCTACTGTATAAACAACACAAACCTCTTTTCTTTGAAAATTGAAATGAAAATTGTATTATCTTTGTGTCAAAACTTTTCAATCAAAATGGTTCAAGCTGTAATTATTCTGAGATGTCAGTTAAGGGTGGAGATCCTGTTAGTCCAAAAGAGTTTGCAGTTGTTGCAGACGCAGAGCCACATGGATTTCCCATGCTCTTTTTTTTTTTTCCCAATCTCTTGTCACTCAGTGGATCTCTGTAAAACATTTGATGGTAAGCAGTGCCTTTCGTCATCTAAATAAGAAACCATAAGAACATTTGAGTTGTTTTTCTTCTGTGCCTTATTGGAATGGTTTTGTAAGTGATATTCCCTGGCTGGAAGAAAGTTTGGTCATTACTGATAACTAACAAAATCAGAGAAATTATATTTAAGTTGATTCATAGATTTGATGCAGGTAAGCGCTCTCTTAAAAGACTTCAGTTTCTTATTGTTTGGAGAACCCTGAAACCTCTGAATTATAAGGTTCTGCCATTTTTGTCAAAATTGAGTTATTCACACATTCTGTGGCAACTTATTTACATTATGTGACGGTTTTTTTTTTTTAAGTTGTGTATATTTTGGGACTGGTGTATGAAAGAGACCATATCACAATATGGCATGCACAAACTTTGAAACTCAACGTCTCGAAACTGCTCGGAATGCAGAACCTTATAATTCTAAGGTGACGATTTATTTTGGAATGTTCGTACACAGCAACATTTTGGCGTGACATTCTTGATTTGATCAAATGTTCTGTAAATCCTAATTTTGAAGTCCACTTATAGAAATATAAGACTTTTAGTTTTGCATGAATGTGAAAAAAGTGATACTTATTTCATAAACCTTATTTTCCTGGTAGCCAAATAACATATTCATAAATGTAAAAATGCAAACTTGTTTTTTTTAAGATTCAAACTTGAAATAAAAATGTATTTTGAATTGAGTTCTCTACAAACTTAAAAACAACCAGAACAATAGCTTTGCTGAATGAAACAGCACTTCCTCTGGACTCAAAGACTGAAAGACCCTGGACTCTTAGTGGTGTTGTATTGTTATGATATTTCCAAGCATTCAATAATAGCAACTTACTCTGAAATTGAGTTGGTGACACTGTTTGCATCTCCGGCACATAGATGGCAGTCATTTAACTCGTTCACAACCCGGCAGTGAATCCACTGAAGGAATATGATCCGGAATGCTTTTGTTGAATCACTTGGAGTGACCATTTGGAAGACTTACTGAAATAAATCAGCCAGTTCCGTTGCTTTTTGGCAGCACTTGTAATGAAAATGACAGAAGAAAACAACGCTGCTGAGCCACGTGTTACTGAAGAGGATGTTCGACTGCTAATAAAAAGAAAAAGTGACATTGAAGAGCAAATTAAAGCATACCACGACATGCTCCAAACCGTAAGTTCAAGCCAATATTTATGACTTTCAATATGCTTTGTCATTAAGCCCAAAGAGACACTAATTAACGTTAGGTCGTTCTCACAGAAGGCGTTATAAACGGCTAGATGCAGCATATAATATATATATATATATATAAATGACATTTAACGTGCCATACAGTTTGATTTTATTAAATGGTTCACTACAACAGTGAAATGCGGCGTCTCCAACCAACTGATTTGTATGGAGTCAGATTAGCGTCAAAATGATCAACATATAAGGACATACAGAGAATGGGAATCTACGTCACGCCGCGTTGGATTGTTGCCTCAGAAAATCTCTAGAACCACCCTCAAAAGTTTCCATTTTTCACAAAAAGTCGTACCGTATAAAAAATATAACAAAAGATTAAATATAACAAAAAATTCTGAAGTGAAATTAGGAAATGCTTGTGATCTGCAAGCACATCAAACATGATGGAAAGACACAATGTTGGGAATTTGTTTTATGTGTCACCAAAGTGCATCCCTGCGCTGCTCAAATACAACAGATAAGAAATATTATGATTCTCCAAAAACAAAAACTTTATTCATACACACTCTATTACTACAAAGTAAGTGCGAAATACTGCGTCCCAGCACACATGACACGATGATGCACTGTGTCGCTCTCTCAGTATCTGGTTGACATGACTGTGCATGAATTGTGGTATAACTTTTGTGTCCGTGGTTAAAACAAGATGTTCATTTTTTTCTCCGGCATCTTGATTGATGCTTGTAATGAAATTGTGGTGTGCGTCATGGCAGGCGTGGCGTACTGGTGTGTTGACTGCGCAGACTCATTGGCATGATTGAGAGCAAACGTGAGTGGTCACGGGCCTGCGGCAGGGTGTGGCCAAGTCAAAAATAAAAAATCGCTAGTTTTATTTAAATAAAGCTAAAATAGCTCCTTGTCACAAAAAATTTAAAAGGTCGCAGCTACAATGAGAAAGTAGCTAAATTTGGCGACAAAATCCCCAAATTGGCAACACTGCTCAGGAGCACACAGTGTAAACACACGCAAATCACCACAGAAAAAGCCGACCGTTTACTATTAATATATCTTTTTTTGAAAACCATCTTACATACTCTTAGAATAAAACGGACTAATATGTAAATCTCTTTAAATAAAAAAAAAAACCGCTCTGTGATTTGTCTGAGAGGCGGCAAATATTCATTATTCAGTCTCCTTCACTACAGTGGTACTGATATATGCTAACTGCTAAAACACTGGTCAGAGCAGCAGAACCATGGCTATTTTTTAAAGGGGAGAATACATAGCTAGATCTCAAACAGTGGATCATTTATCATTGTTATATATCGTCATATTGCCCAGTAAAACTGCTCATTGTAAAGAATTAAGCCATTATAGAGGTAACAGAACTTACTGTACGCTGCTTTGAAACACTGTGTATTGTGGATGCTATACAAATAAATACCTTGACTTGATTGAACCAAGTTGAAGATTCCTTACTATTAGAGATGCCGAACAAACAATGATGAAATGAATGAAACTTAATACATACAAACAAACAAGCTGCCGCAAGATAACGTTTCCATTTATAATTTTCTTCTATTTGTAGTGTGAGGGCTTACAGTTTAATGCACTGTATATAATAAACCTACAGAGATCAATTATTAAGCCACATCTTGAGTTGTTTACCATACAGAGTTTCAGTTTAACTTTCATCCGAGTTCCATAGTGAATGTAGACATTTTATATTATTTAATGTTTATATGATTCAACTTAAGATCGCGTTGGAATGATTAACGCTTACTGTATCAACATAGCGTTCATCAAAAGCAGAGATATTTCATGCAGACATTGATAATTAAGGACTATGGCATAGCCCTTATCAATGTCTGCTGGAAATACCTCTGCTCTTTCAGCTTTCTAACGCTGAAAAAAGCAAGTTTTTCACACCGACCGTGCAAAGGGCTATGGCAAATGATGTAAAGTGAGCCTTAACCACTCCAACGCGATCTAAAGTAGAATAATATAAATGTTAAATCATCAAACGTCTACATTCGCTATATTATCCAGTCTCCGCTATAGCTCCCGTGACCTAAATTCCCAGAATGCATTGCCGCTGTGACGACACATTCCCATTCTCTATAGGATAAAAGTAATTCACATGCACAAAAGCTAATTAACATGCATAAAGTGAAGTAATACTTTTACAAAATGTTTCCCAAATGAAAACATAAATAGACAGTGTGTGCACAAAGTTTCAAATGTCGCAGCGTTGCAGTTTGAGTGTATATTTTATTATTTTCCCCAGTGCTTTATGGAATTATGTATTCCACGCAGTCTTGTACTTTTATCTTTTTGTTCAATTTTCAAATACTTTTTACATTAAATAAAAGTCCTCTCTATATCAGCTCCTGGTCCCACCAATCAATTTTGAATAATAGATAGGACAAAATTGCGTAATTTCATTGGCACGTATACCATATAAGCCCACTCTGGACATCTAACACTGCAAAATTGATTTAATACTCACTTTATTGGAAGATTGTTCAGAAATCTATTAGGAAAGATAAAACAAATCAAATAAAATCTGACTATACAGTAGAGGTCGACCGATGTATCGGTTTTGCTGATTAATCGGCACCGATAGTTGATTGCTGGAACTATCGGTTATCGACAAAAATCCATGCCGATAGTTTTCCGGGTTGCGTCCATTGCTGGAGCGGCTGAGAAGGGTCTGCTGTCATTACACAGTGCGAGAGTGGCCTCTAGTGGTTGAAATCACAGACAGCACGTGCTATTTGTTTAGACATGTGATACTGCACGCTGAACAGAGCGGGAAACTTCAGACGTGGATTTAAATGCAACCGACAGAAAATCCTGCCGCGCCACAGAGCGCCATTCACATAGTTTTCCTTTAAATTACATTATATTTGTCCCGAATCGTTGTTAATGTACATAATGAATTGTGTATTGTGCGTTTTCAGCAAAACATTTGTCTTTCTGTGGCTCGAATAAAGTCTATGTGCTTCATTTATAGAGCTATAATATAGGTTGCTCTTTCTCTTTCCGTTTGCTCTGTTTTTAAACACCGAACTTCAAACTCATCCATGCCAAATTGTTCATTATTGAAGTAAACTTGTGTCCGTTTGGTGATTAAATAAACAGTTTTAGACCGCTGCTTGAGTTGAACGCAATGCGTCCGGAGTGTGTGTGATACCGGCGAGTTCTCCTAGACTCAGCGCTGCACTTTTATTTTGATTAGATAATCATCGTGTTCAAGAATAGAAGCAGTTAATGTGTGAGAGTATACATACAATATCCATAGCCTTTGTGTATATATTTAAAGATGTGCATCTTTAAGCATGACCGTTGAAATGAAATGGTAACACTTTAAAATAAGAGTCCATTTGTAGCATTAAGATTAATGAAAGCTGTGTAAGTATTGTTCCTTGTTAGAGTGTGTTAATTTCAACATTTACTATTATTTTTTATTTTTTTACTACTACTGCTAGTATGGTTCAGTACTGTTTTTGTTAATAAAGCACTATTTTAGTTTTTGTTCAGTATCAATTTTAAAACTATCGGTTAATCGGTATCGGCCTGTGTGGTCCAACCTAGCTATCGGTATCGGGAAAATCCACTATCGGTCGACCTCTACTATACAGTCAGACGTTCGATTAGACTGTAGTTGGTCTGCCCTCTCAGTTGGATGGCTGGGTTTTGCCCATAGATTTGTAAGAGTTTATTATAGCCAGTTGATCGCCATGTTACGTGCTGATATGTTATGGCTTAATATTATGCATTATAATATCTTCTAAAGACATTTCTTCATATGGTGTGTGTGTGTGTGTGTGTGTGTTTGCACAGCAGGCAGGTATAGGCATGGACGCTCCTCTGGTTGATGTGGAAGGCTTTCCTCGTGCAGATGTGGATTTGTACAAGGTCAGAACAGCAAGGCACAATATATCTTGTGAGTACACTTTTCACCTGTGTGTTAAATAATTGTGATGAATTTTCTTATGCCTTTTCATAGTAGTGAACACAAAAAGTATCATGATAATGGCATTGACATGTATAAAGGTATATAAATATGTTAATCATTCAGTAGCATAATATATATTACAGTACCATAGTTTTACCACCACTATGCCATGCTGGTGATACAGTGATTCTTTTTAAGGGAATAAATGTTTGCTTAATTTCAGTAAGGAATTGGTGTAATTCATGGTAAAACATTTATTAACCTTTGGTGCATGTTTTGGATTTCCACCTGAATTTGACATACCCAAAATTACGTTCACTCAACACACGTACAGTGGAAGTGATGTCAAATATTGGTGTCGTTGTACAGAAAAAAAATGCTCAAAATTACAAAATCTGATTACAATATTTCATAAATAACGGTCTCTCTCTTTCTATATATATACAGTACTGGTCAAAAGTTTGTTATAATTAAGATTTTTTTTTTAAACATTTTTGAAAAAAGTCTCTTCTGCTCAACAAGGCTGCAATTATTTGATCAAAAATAAAGTAAAATCAGTAATTGCGAAATATTAGAATTTAAAATACAGTGCATCTGGAAAGTATTCACAGCGCTTCATTTTTTCCACATTTTATGTTACAGCCTTATTCCAAAATGGATTAAATTCATTATTTTCCTCAAAATTCTACTAACAATACCACATAATGACAATGTAAAATAAGTTTGTTTGAAATCTTAGCAAATCTATTTAAAAAAGAAAAGAAAATCTCATGTACATAAGTATTGCTCAATACTTTGTTGAAGCACCTTTGGCACCAATTACAGCCTCAACTCTTTTTGAGTATGATGCTACAAGCTTGGCACACTTGTTTTTGGGCAGTTTCTCCCATTCTTCTTTGCAGGACCTCTCAAGCTCCCATCAGGTTGGATGGGGAGTGTTGGTGCACAGCCATTTTCAGATCTCTCCAGAGATGTTCAATCGGGTTCAAGTCTGGGCTCTGGCTTGGGCCACTCAAGGACAGTCACAGAGTTGTCCCATAGCCACTCCTTTGTTATCTTGGCTGTGTGCTTGGGGTCGTTGTCCTGTTGGAAGATGAACCTTCGCCCCAGTCTGAGGTCCAGAGCGCTCTGAAGCAGGTTTTCATCAAGGATGTCTCTGTACATTGCTGCATTCATCTTTCCCTCGGTCCTGACTAGTCCTGCCGCTGAAAAACATCCCCACAGCATGATACTGCCTCCACCATGCTTCACTGTAGGGATAGTATTGGCCAGGTGATGAGCCGTGCCTGGTTTCCTCCAGACATGACGCTTGCCATTCGGCCAAAGAGTTCAATCTTTGTTTCATCAGACCAGAGAATTTTGTTTCTCATGGTCTGAGAGTCCTTCAGGTGCCTTTTGGCAAACTCCAGGCGGGTTGTCGTGTGCCTTTCACTGAGGAGTGGCTTCCGTCTGGCCACGCTACCATACAGGCCTGATTGGTGGAGTTTTTCTCTCTCCACAGAGAAATGTTGGAGCTCTGTCAGAGTAACCATCGGGTTCCTGGTCACCTCCCTGACTAAGGCCCTTCTCCCCCGATAGCTCAGTTTGGCCGGTCGGCCCAACTTCTTCCATTTACGGGTGATGGAGGCCACTGTGCTCATTGGGACCTTCAATGCTGTCGAAATTTTTCTGTACCCTTCCCCAGATCTGTACCTCGATACAATCCTGTCTCGGAGGTCTACAGACAATTCCTTGGACTTCACGGCTTGGTTTGTGCTCTGACATGCACTGTTAACTGTGGGACCTTATATAGACTGGTGAGTGCCTTTCCAAATCATGTCCAGTCAACTGAATTTTCCACAGGTGGACTCCAGTCAAGTTGTAGAAATATCTCAAGGATGATCAGTGGAAACAGGATGCACCTGAGCTCAATTTTGAGTGTACTTATGTATATGTGATTTTTTTTGACACGTGAATAGATTTGCAAAGATTTCAAACAAACTTCTTTCTCGTTGTCATTATGTGGTATTGTTTGTAGAATTTTGAGGAAAATAATGAATTGAATCCATTTTGGAATAAGGCTGTAACATAACAAAATGTGGAAAAAGTGAAGTGCTGTGAATACTTTCCGGTTGCACTGTAACTGTTATGTGAATATATGTTAAAATGTAATTGATTCCTGTGATCAAAGCTGAATTTTCAGCATCATTACGCCAGTCTTCAGTGTCCCATTATCCTTTAGAAATCATTCTAATATGCTTATTTGCTGCTCAATTATTATTAATAATTTCTAATCATTCTTGTAACTCTTAAAGTTCTTTATTTTTTTTAATAATTTATAAAGGTTTACAGAATGATCACAAAGCTATCATGGTGGAGATCGAGGAGGCCCTTCATAAGCTGCATGCCACAGCAAGGGTCAAACCTGAGAAGGACGTGACAAAGACGGAAGTCACTGAGCCGACCGCGTCTCTGCCAGCCCCGTTTGCACTGGTGGACACTGTAACACAGGGCTCCCCTGCTTTTCAGGCCGTGAGTTTGTGCCCCATTTCTAACCTTCATATTCACAGATTTATTAAGTCAACTTAAAGTCCCCATGAAATCAAAATGAAAGTTTTTTTTGGGTGTTGGTATCAATATGTTAGTCTTAAAGTTATCTATAAGGCAGTGTGCTCCAAAACAGTGACAAAATTCGCATTTAGAAGATATAAGCATTCAAAGCTTGCAGTTCGTCACTTCCGCCAAAACGGCTCAACGATTTTTTTGACGTCACATCGTCAAATGCTCTCTAGAATCCGAAGCCCCGCCCCCTACACTATAAAATAGACGCTGGAGCCGCGGCTGAAATCGGTCACTTGTCGACAGAATTAGTATTTTCTGTACAGTGAATGGCACGTAGTGCACTATATAGGAGACAGGAAACGATTCAAACAGTGTAAATATGCTTTCCATTGAGGAAAAAAAGAAGTCTGGTTTGGCGCTGTGTCCCGCTAACCACCGCACCGCACACACACTCTGCTCCGGTCCAGAGACACGATAGCACGGAGCGGATCACACGCACGAGTCGGCGCAGACCACAAAATGTTTGAGCTATTTGAATTCTACACAGAATGCTATATTTTATAGCAATATGGATGAGATTGTGGCTGGTATACTCTGTCAAATGAGGCTTTACGGAGCTCAACGGCTCAGAACGGCTCTAGCCCAAGCTGTGGGCGAACGCTATTGGCTATTTTAAAAAGGGGCGGGGCTGCTTGATATGTCCCGCCCTGTCTTCCTGTTTCAGTTCAAATGACGTCAACACATAGAGTAACACTGCGTGTTTCTAAGCATTTCAGGGGACCTTTAACTTGTTTGCTTAATACATCTAAAATCAGTATCAGATGATTTACATTAGTAAAATGTTGCAACCTTTAAATGCTTTTCATGTTGACTTGTATATTTTATATTTTTTAGTTATAACATATAATGACTGCATGTTAACTGTTGCTCATTGGAAGGTTTATTTCATTTCATAGTAGTACTTAAGTCTCTTTTTGAGTCGAAGCACAAACTGATTACGCAACTAGAGAGTTTAAAACAGATGTGCAGCACTTTACAAAGTGGCTGATTGTTCATAGTGGATTTTTCATGAGTAAAAACTTTCATTGATTTCAGTTTTCTTCTGTTTGTAGGGTCTGCGAGTCGGTGATGAGATTATAGAGTTTGGGTCTGTAAATACACTAAACTTCAGGAATCTGCGTGACGTCGCTTCTGTTGTCCAACATAGTGAAGGGGTTTGTTGTAACTCGAAGCTCTTTCCTTTAAGTTTAAAACTGTAGCTCAGTTACTTACTCTTTTTATTACTTTACATTCCTGTTTATGTACTACGTGATTCAGTTTAATTTTGTCTTGGTGAATTATTTCTCTTTACTCTAGAAATCCCTACGTGTTGGATTGCTTCGAAGTGGACAAGAAGTACATCTTAATTTGACTCCGAAGCAATGGTCTGGTAGAGGACTACTGGGGTAAAGAATGTGTTTATTGTATTAATTCATTTTAATTAGGAAAATATCAAGGTCATTATTAATGGCATTTTTATTCTGTTAATAGGTGCAACTTAGTACCTCTCCACAGATGACCAGTGAAAGGACGAGGATCATCTTTATGCCAAACAGCACACCTCTTTTGCACTAAATAAATTTGCAGTGGGTTAACTTTAATTTTGCTTTTGCATTCATTGTAAAATTACCAAGGAGAAATGACAGACTATTCAGTATCAGACTTACTTAATCTGTCAGAAAGGATGAACAGAGAATTTATTTGCAAGGTTTTCACTTACCCTTTTCTCCTTTTAAATGTCTTGCATCCATTTTTATTTTTAAATTCTTGTTCTAAAATTGGTGCATTGTGGAACAAATCTGGCAAGAGGATCTGCAAAAGTTCTTAACATTTTAATGTTAAAGCAGCTGAATGGTAAGACCAGAGTCATTCTGAGTTCTGATGTATGAAGCTGTATTCGCTTTGTTACAGTTGCATTAGAACAACACCAGGGTGAGTAAATAATGTCTGAATTTTCATTTCTGGGTGAACTATCCTTTTAATATGTGTGATAAACACATTACAGTGTCCTTATATGAAAATCAGATTCAAAACTGACTTGGAAACCTGTTATCATGCCTTCATTTTTTTTCCAAATGCCTTATAGTTTCATATAAATATGAATTATTACATGTTAAAAACTATGATAAAGTAAATCATTTAAATATCTCATTGTGTGAAAACGATTTTTTATTTTCAAAAAATGATGATGGTCTCCCATTTGTGGCGTCAGTTTCCCCACACCAAACAATTTTGCCCCTATGAAGTTTAGAGATATCTTGCATGGATTTTTGACTAGTCAAAATGTACTTACTGATATCTTGTACCATCTTTCTTACTAGTCAAATTATAACTGCACGTATCTCTAATGATCATGTTGACTTGTCAAAACAATTGTAACTATCTAAAATGTAATTGTCAAACCAAAGCATTAAATGATAAATTGGCTTGCCATATCTTATTTATAGAGGTGTGTGACTACATACGGTTGGGATTTCTAAAGCAGCTGAATGGTAAGACCAGAGTCATTCTGAGTTCTGATGTATGAAGCTGTATTCGCTTTGTTACAGTTGCATTAGAACAACACCAGGGTGAGTAAATAATGTCTGAATTTTCATTTCTGGGTGAACTATCCTTTTAATATGTGTGATAAACACATTACAGTGTCCTTATATGAAAATCAGATTCAAAACTGACTTGGAAACCTGTTATCATGCCTTCATTTTTTTTTTCAAATGCCTTTATAGTTTCATATAAATATGAATTATTACATGTTAAAAACTATGATAAAGTAAATCATTTAAATATCTCATTGTGTGAAAAAGATTTTTTATTTTCAAAAAATGATGATGGTCTCCCATTTGTGGCGTCAGTTTCCCCACACCAAACAATTTTGCCCCTATGAAGTTTAGAGATATCTTGCATGGATTTTTGACTAGTCAAAATGTACTTACTGATATCTTGTACCATCTTTCTTACTAGTCAAATTATAACTGCACGTATCTCTAATGATCATGTTGACTTGTCAAAACAATTGTAACTATCTAAAATGTAATTGTCAAACCAAAGCATTAAATGATAAATTGGCTTGCCATATCTTATTTATAGAGGTGTGTGACTACATACGGTTGGGATTTCCTTTAACCTGTAAATGGCATTTAATTAGTAAGACTTCACATTTAAAATATTAAGTTTTGACTACTCCAATCAAATTCAAGATATCTACAAAGTTAGGCTATTTTGAATAGTATTGTTTTAGTTTCAGGTATCAAAAACACATTCTGGATATCTTTAATGATGAAAAGATACCTGTAATCAGAATTCTGACTGGTTGAATAACAATTAGGGATTCAATGTAAATTAAAGTAATAACTGGATTACAAATATCTTGACACGTCATAATCGCTAACAGATATCTGGAATTGTAATTTTGACAAGTAAAAAGTAATTTACGACTACCGAAGCTTTAAATGATTAAACGTCTTGCCATAGCCTCCTGACTCCCAGCTATGGAGTTTTGACATTATATATATATATATATTTATTATATTTTGGGATTCAATTTAAACTAATGTATGCTTTTATGTAACTAATTTTTAAAAAATGATGACCAGTTTTAAAGAAAAAAATTGGATGACTAACTACTCTAAACCTTTTATGCAACTGGCCCCAGGACTTAAAGCGTGTTTATTATGCATTTTGGGAGACAACAAGTGAATAGGGAAGGAAATTGTATGTCAATATTCCTATGAAATATGAGATATTTTGAAAATCTTGCCAATTATTACTCCCATTATTACACTTCTTTTTTTTTTCCATTACACGTTGCCCCAAAAACAGATTAATATGCAAATTAGATACCGTTTATATGCTACATCAAACCCGTTTATGGCAATTTTACACTCATATTGCATAAAGCAAAGCGGCATATCAAATCATTCTGTTATGTCTTTTATAACATAGTGGAGAATCATCTTTATATAAAGTTTGGTATAAAAAATGATTGGTGATTTTAAAAAATCCCACTGTTTTTGCCTTTCCACGTCTATTCATGTATTTTAAAGTCCTGGTGTCCTCTACAGAGGACACAGCAGAAAATTAACCATGTAGTAACCAACCTTTTTGACATTGATTACCATTCGTTTAACCACAGTTTTACTACAAATACCATGGTTAAACTATGGTTAGTATGGCAAAACCATGGTCAATTTGTGCTTACCGTGGTTTAACTATATTAACCTTATAGTAACTATAAAACCGTGGTCAATTTGTGCTCACCGTGGTTTAACTATAGTAACCTTATAGTAACCTTAAAACCGTGGTCAATTTGTGCTCACCGTGGTTTAACTATAGTAACCTTATAGTAACCTTAAAACCGTGGTCAATTTGTGCTCACCGTGGTTTAACTATAGTAACCTTATAGTAACCATAAAACCGTGGTCAATTTGTGCTCACCGTGGTTTAACTATAGTAACCTTATAGTAACCTTAAAACCGTGGTCAATTTGTGCTCACCGTGGTTTAACTATAGTAACCTTATAGTGACCTTAAAACCGTGGTCAATTTGTGCTCACCGTGGTTTAACTATAGTAACCTTATAGTAACCATAAAACCGTGGTCAATTTGTGCTCACCGTGGTTTAACTATAGTAACCTTATAGTAACCATAAAACCGTGGTTAATTTTCGTTAGGGAATAAAATATTTTTCAAAAATGTTACATTGGTTGCATTGCTTTCTATACAGGGTAAAAAAAAATCAATTTACTTATTTTTTTCTTATGCTCTAAACAATGTAACGACTTTGGGGGAAAAAAATACTAAATTCACCAAAAAAAAAAAAAAATCTGGTATTTTTACTTTGTACGAACGTCACGCAACGCGCACGACTCGAAGTTCCCGGATGGAGTTTCATCGCCATATTTAGTCGCCGGCAGGATACGAGGATTTCAAGCTGCTGTTGCTACACCAAGTATCCCGATATAACACATCTTTTCCGTTTTCTGCACCATTTGCACCCGTCTGTACAAACAGACAGCGTCTCTGACCTTCACCCTGTCCACCTCCTCGCGGTCCCCGGTAATCATGGCAGATCGAGAGCACTTGGTTTATCAGGCTAAGCTAGCAGAACAAGCCGAGAGATACGATGGTGAGTTGATGTTTTTGGGCGTTATAAATGTGTTGTCACGCTCTTGAATTACATCCGAGGGACAGCAGTAAACAGAGGGATGTCGTATATTCACACGTGTCACGTCCAGGAGAAATGGCAGGAAAAATCCAGTAAGAGCTGTTGTTTTGGAAAGGCCCGAACTAGCTCAGCCCAACCCCTGCATTGTTCGCGAGCTAAAGCCAATGTTGATCTGTGCTCGCGCTGCTAAGATCTGTTGTGTACAATCTACGAGTGGCGCATCTGATATTGTAACGTTACTGTAATCAGTTGATCGGAGATTGTGTGATTCAAAATCGTGTGGTTTTCTTTCGCTACACATGATCTGAATAAAATCAGACTGCGTTGAGATTTTAGCTGATGCAATGATGACTAGCCTGAACCCAGCTGGTTATTCTGACTGCTGTTATTGGATATTTTTACTGTATTCATGTTTTTATGCACCTCGATGTTGACATTTTGGACAGTACGTGGTATTTCTCAGTCATTTTCACTGGTGCATTAAATATGTCACGGGATCATTTAAGATTTTAAGAAAAAAAATCCATTAAAACCATTATCTGATTATGGAAAAATGCTTAAATGTCAGGAAAAAAATATTGGTTAAACCAATTATTGCTTGTTCTGTACTTGTGTATGATTTGATGTTATTATGCATGTCACAATGTGAAAGAAAATATCTGTCATTGAGAGTTACACAATTTTATTTACGCAGAAGTGAAATTGTTTGAGCTAAATAGCATCTGCTACAAACATTACTCTCATCTGAGCTTACTACTTCGTACATGCATTTTTTTTTTATTATTAAGCCACTCAGTACCCAGTCTGTGACATTCAGTGTTATGTACTATATTTATCATTTAGTTTGACCTTTGCACTCCAGATCTTTGATGGCGGGTTTGCTGTGTGTCATTAAGATGATTCTTCTGTGTTTCAGAAATGGTGGAGTCTATGAAGAGCGTTGCAGGAAAGGACACCGAGCTCACGGTGGAGGAGAGAAACCTGTTGTCGGTGGCGTATAAGAACGTGATTGGAGCTCGACGAGCCTCCTGGAGGATCATCAGCAGCATTGAGCAGAAAGAGGAGAGCAAGGGAGGAGAGGGCAAACTCAAAATGATCCGCGAATACAGACAAGCGGTGAGACTGCATGGAGCCTTAAAGGGATAGTTCACCCAAAAATGGGAAGAAGCGTAACAATTTAAGTGAAGCATTTAAAACTGTCCGAGAAAGACGCAAGAATCATTACAAGCACCGACAGCGAGAGACTGTTTAGGATTGCATCGCATGTCTTCGATGAGAAGAGGACGGGGGGATTGTTGCTGGTTTACTCTAGGGCTGGGTATCGATTCAGATGTCTCGATTCGATTCTCGATTTTTTGATTACATTCAGTGAATATAGTTTTAATACAAATGCTATTGATATTTCTAAAAAATGAACAGTAAACATCAGTTTACAAAT